GAGCAAAAATGCTAAGGGACAGTGCCCAGGCCCTGAGTTCAAGCCCCAGTACACACACACACACACACACACACACACACCACACACACACACACACACACACACACCTCCAAAATCTGAGTTGCTTTATTACTTTTTGGTCACATGTGGCCTTGATTTATTGGTTGCTTGCATAGGTAGTAAGAGCATGCTTTCTGGGCGAGATGGAAGTCATGCAAAAGTGTCACCACCTGGGGGGATGGTCACACTCACAGTGCACTGCACACACACACTACAATGGCGTTCACATGCCCCATGGGAAGCGAATGGCAAGGAGGACAGCTGCACACTCAGGGAAGTCTTGTGTTTATGACAGGTACTAGGTTTGTCAGCAAAATGTGCCCCTTCTCAACTCCCAAGAAATGAACCCTTCAACATCCCCCCAAGGTATGTTTTCTTGAAACGGTGCCGATGATTCTCTCACTAGCTCAAAAACCCAGGCCAGATATACTAATTCACTTCATGTCCAATAATGGCAACTACTCAGGAAAGAAACACTGGAGCTGTTCAGGAAATTTGTCAGGATGAATGTCCATCCATTTCAAACAACACTTATTTGGCCTAAGTGAGCTTTCCTCATACCTCTTCATCTTTCCCACAGCTGCTACTCCTGCTCCCTTTACATGGTGTCCCTGTGACTTTGATGAGTTCCTGTAGAATAAGGACAATTCTTACTCCACCCCACACAAAAGAACCCCACATGCACCTTGTACAAACACAGACCAACAAATTCCAACGCGAAGGACGCTCAAGCCCTAAGCAGCAGAGGCTAGAAGAGGGTGATGTCTGCAGAGAGGAGAAAGGGCTCGTTGGCATGCTCAAGAAGGACACTTCACTTCTCTGTGGCGAGGACTGTCACTCACCTAGGACCTCATGAGCATTCCCTGGTGCCCAGCTGTGCTCCTAGGGCTCTGGCAGCTTTCAGCTTCATTGCTATGCAAAGCAGACCCTGAATGAGCAGGAGGTGGCAGAGAATCTAAAATGACAGGAAGCTGGGCTGGGTAGCTCACATCTAGAATCCTAGCTCCTAGGGAGACTAAGCCCAGGGCAAGGGAGATAAATGTTTGAGGCCAGTCCAGGTAAAAAGGTGTGACACCTCCATCTCAACAACAACAACAACTGGGTACAGTGGGGTTTTCCTCTGATCCCAACCATGCAGATAATATAAAAACAGAAAGATCACCATCTAGGCCAGCCCAAGCAAACAGCAAGTTACTCAAAAAAAAAAAAATTTTTTTTAAAGCAAAAAGGCTGAAGGCATGGCTCAAAGGATAGAGTGCTTACTTAGCAAGCATGAGGCCCTGAGTTCAAACCCCAGCAAGAATAAATAAAGGTAAGAAAATGTAACAACAGGAGTATAAACTTCTCTGGGCTTCCATGTTACCAAAGGCAAGATGGGGGATGACTTAAGGAATGCTGGAGTGTCAGTGTACTAGTATTTTACAGAAAAAGAAATCAAGAATAAAAAAGTTCATTTTAAAGCAGACAAACATTATAAACGCAATACTAGTGTTGGTGAGTGTGTGGTGCTCTGATAAGCCCATCTCAGGGCCAACAAGAAACCCGGTCTACTACCCTCGGACATGATTTTAGCGAAAGCACACACATGCTTTCTGTGCCAAATACTACTAGAAAAAAAATTAAAAAATAAATAAATCCCACCAAGTCTTTAACCTACCACGAACTGAATAAAACCAAGAAACAATGGTCCTGTAAGATGTCATATGCTTCAAAGAGCACTTCAAACTTCTGGGGAAAATACCTCTTCTATGTCTTAAAGCCATATCAAATAATCAGGAATAATATCATTTCCACTGTTTACCAAGCACAGAAATAGCTTAATGCCGAGACAATGCCATAATACTTCCTTGTGCTTGCTATTTAATTAAATGTGAAATGAGGACTAAACTCTAAAGGCATACAGCTTATGGATTTTTATTATTAAAATTTTATTTCTTATATTCCCATGGAAAATTCAAAGACACAGAGTGTTAAAAAAAACTATACATCATGGAAAATCCATACTCATAGGACTCAAGAATAAAACCACCTACCATTTATTTCTACAAATTTATTTTTATAAATGCTTAAGTGATTATGCCAAAAAAAAGACATGTTATTAAAACCCTCTGTCCAAGCAAACTATGATTCTATGGCCTGTTTCAGCACTTCAGACAGATTCTGAATGGGGTTTACCTACTGCACAAAGACAGGAAGTTTAAAATCAGATCCTATCTGACCCCTGATACTGATGACCTCGGATTCAGTACACCTTCTTCAGGAAGCAAAAGCGAGATGGGAATGTGAGAGTGGGGTACACACTACCTGGATGTCCCTCAACTGTTACAACAACAGAAACAAGGGCAGCCAAGTATCTGAGTCACAGCAAGGCAGAGGGCAGGGCTGCTTTGCGAAGTCATGAGATCTACACAGTAAAACGAGGATACCTATGGTAGTGGGCAGTGAGCACACATGCAATGAACTGCATGCAGCTCTATGGTACCATGCCCCAGGCTGCATATATAAGCCTTAAATGTTGCCAGGGCAAGCTGGGCGCTGGTGGCTCATGCCTGTAATCCTAGCTACTCAGGAGGCTGAGATTTGAGGATCGTGGTTCAAAGCCAGCCAGGGCAGGAAAGTGTCCAAGAGACTCTAATCTCCAAATAACCACCAAAAAACCGGAAGTGGCGCTATGGCTCAAGTGGGAGAGTGCTCGCAGAGCTGAGCAGAGCCCAGGCCCAGAGTTCAAGCCCAGAGTTTCAAGGGCGAAACATTCTAGCTACCTCAACTAAGAGGGCCTCCAGCCCTGTGAATTACCAGCTAATGATCAAATTAGCAGCAAATTTAAGTAACCTGGTAGAGATATTTCCCAAGAGGTATTCATGGGGAGGAAAAAAAAGAAAAATAAAAGGCAGTGCAGAATTGCCAGTTATGCATGTGTATGTGTTAAAGTTACTTTATACACAGCAAGACTGAAAAGAGGGATTATGTATGGACCCACATGTGCACCAAAAGCCCACAGAGAACTCCAATAGAGAACTACAACCAAGAAAAAGTTAGCATTAAAAAGCACATGAACGTATGCCAGGTGCCGGTGGCTCATTCCTAGCTATCCAGGAGGTTGAGATCTGAGGATCATGGTTCAAAGCCAGACAGGGGTAGGAAAGTCCATGAGACTTTTGTCTCCAATTAACCACCCCAAAAAAGCAAGAAATAGAGGTGTGGCTCACATGGTAGAGTGCCAGCCTTGAGCAAAAAAAGCTTAAGAACAGCACCTAGGCCCTGAGTTCAAGCCCCAGTACCAGCACGTGCACACATACATACATACATACATACACACATACACACACACACACACACACAAAAGCACATAACAGCAAATAACAGCATGCTCTAGTTTATGGCAAAGTGACAAATGCTATTCAAGGGAGACTCAGGACCACAATTCCCTTGATATTTTTAAAAACTAGAAAAAGTGAAAAGTTAAAAACTGAGCTGCAAGGTATTGCCAGGAGAATTATAAAACTGAAAAAAGTAAACACTCTGTTTATCTGTGAGATTTCTGTGGTTTCCCTTCTGTGATCTGTGCCGACATACTCCAAATTCCACTCCAAAATTCATCGTTAGCACAAAGAAGACATAAATGAGATACACAAGCCTGGCAAGGCTGAGCCTGAAGTATATCCATAACATTGTGCCACACATAGCAGGAAGCCACTTCCTTCCTTTGCAGCTGGACAGGACACGAGTTTACACATGAGGACAGCATGGAGCAACCCTCTCTAACAGAACAAAGCACCACCACAGGAGGAAATGGTTGCAATCCATGCCACCATCGTTAAAGCTGGGCTTTGCTAGGGAATCTTTCAGAAGGGCTAATTACTCTCTAGTATAGTTCAAAATCCCAGTGGGGGCTGGGAATGTGGCTTAGTGGTAGAGTGCTTGCCTAGCATGCATGAAGTCCCAGGTTCAATTCCTCAGCACCACATAAACAGAAAAAGCCCGAAGTGGCACTGTGGCTCAAGTGGTAGAGCGCTAGCCTTGAGCAAAAGAAGCTCAGGGACAGAGCCCAGGCCCTGACTTCAAGCCCCAGGACTGGCAAAACAAAAAACAAAACAAAACAACAACAAAAAAAAAACAAACAAACAGTGGCCATATTTAGAAAACTGGTACCTGGCTCTCTGGCTAAGCAATCTGGTATCCCAAGAGCCACCTCTGCAGCTCTGAAAGCAGCAAAAGACTTCTGTCTCCCTCTAAAACATCTGGGTGTGGCAGCAGAAGTGACAGTCACTCACGCCACCTTCCTCTTGAATGCTATTCACCGATGTCCATCATCCTAGTCTAGCCGAGTCACATACCTGAGAACATTAGTGAGGAAAGCTCGACCTTCACAAAGACAAAAGATGGGCTCACAGCGCAGAGAGCAACGGCTGCCCTCCGCTCATTTCCCTGCTGGTATCACAGGTTCAGAGCTCCTGGTGCCACTGGCAACTCATGAGGACAGGTTCTGCTCAGATTAAAGACAAGTCAGATAACTCCCTCTCCTATACACTCACCATGGCTCAACTAGCTCGCATGTTTCAAAACTAACCCGAGTATCCAACAAGTCATCCAAGTTCTCTAGAAAGACGTAGCACAGTTTTTGAAGGGACTGTCAGGGTGCAGTCTACAATGACACCAGTCAGCTTGCTAGCAATGCTTTGCCTATGGCTGTTATTTGGTTCAGTGACATAATAAGGTGACATTTCAGCAATCTGATTGAATTCTACACACACACAGAGGCGAGCGCGCACACGCGCGCGCGCACACACACACACACACACACGCACGCACACACGCACGCACACACAGAGGCACATGACCCAAAAAATACAAAACAAAAGCAGAGAGGGCTTTAGTGGGAGAGAGGGTTCTAAATAAATAAACATCTTTACAGATAAAACACTTGGGGTGCAGAAACGTCACTGAGGTTTCTGAGAAGGCCGTGCAGAGCTTTGCATGCTGGAAGCTAACTTTTTGGAGGCTTTCTCTGAGGCCTGCCTGCCACTGGGAGACGAGGGGACTCCAGAATCCAGCTGGGAAGACTTGGGTTTGCGGGAGGACAGCAGGGAACGCTTAGCAGAAGCAGCGTCCTTAGAGGTGAGGTCTTTACCGACCACATTCCCGCTTGGCTGCTGGGAGCCTGGAGGCTGGTGGTCTTTCTCGGCCTTGTCATCCGGGGTATTCTTACCCACCGACTTGACAGAGCCCCCAGTAGCCTTTTTGGCGAGCAGTGTGGTCTTGCCCAGATCAGTGGACCGCCGAGTCTCCTTCTGTCTCAAGGCCGACTTGAAGAAGGACAGCCCCTTGTCCTCAGACTTGCTGTCCCTCTTCAGGCCGGAGCGCACGCTGGCACTGGGCGAGCGCAGGCTGGCCATGGAGGAGCTTCGCACGTGCTTGCCATCACTTCTGCCCTCGCCTGCTCTGGCCTGGCTCACCCGAGGGGAGGTGGGTTTGGAGGTGGAGATGACACTGGCTCTGTCGGAGCCCAGGCTCTGGCGGGAGCCCTCTCTGCTTAAGCTCCGATCTGAAGTCCTGCTCTTTCCAGGAGGGACGGTGCCCCTGGGGGCAGGGCCCGAAGTTTTTTTGGCAGCTGTGGAAGCTGCAGAGTGAGCGAGGGCAGAGGAAGGCTTCTGCTTCTGCGCGCAAGGGGAAGACACGGAGTCCTGGGACTTGGAGGATGACTCCTTTCTGGGCTGGGCCGGCGCAGGGGCTGAGTGCCTTCCACTGGCCCTCGCAGCAGAGTCTGCTTTGCTGCGAGAACGGGAGGGCTTCAGAGAAGCCTTCACAGGGACGGGCGAGGAGGGGGACGTACTTGAGAGAGATGAGTCCTGGCTCGCCAGGGCCGGCCGTCCCTTGCGCACACCCCTCTCTGGCTCAGGGGCACCTCTGCCACTCGAGGGCCTCCTAGCTGTGCTCTCAGGCTTCTTTGTGAAGGAGCTTGGGGGGCCTGGGGGCTTCACCTCTTTGACGGGAGAGCTGTCCACGGAATCACTCTGGTCTACATAGGCAATCTGGTTGTTGTTGTCAAATGGATCAGATGGGGGGCAGATGGGGGACAGGCGATCCCCTTGTGCTAAGTTTTTGTTCTGTGCATCTAAAACACTGGAGTTCAATTTGCGGGCATCTGACTCGTCTTTGAACACACCTTCCATGACAGCCAGCGGGGCCCGGCCCGCAACCTTGTGCTCACGGCGACCATGACTGTCACTTGGCTCCTGGTAGCTGCTGGACAGGTTCCGTAAGCTACCGAAGCAAGAGATGGAGACCTTGTCGTCCCCGGCTTCCCCAATCCTTTCCAGGGTAGAGGCAGAGCCGTGAATCGGGGAGTCCCCTGAGAACCGGGAAGGAGAACTGGAGCGCATCTGTAGCTTGGCAGACAGGGACCATGAGGGTCTCATGCAGTTTTCGTTGACAGCCAAGGGGCTGGTGATGGAAGATCTGGATGACAAGCTCTGACGCTGGACGCTTCTCACGAATGGTCTAGTTGAAAAGCCTCCTGAACACAGCACAGAGAATTCTGTTACAACAACAACAGCATTCCAGTAAGGTCTTAAGACAATGAGAGAGGATGCAGGCAAGCCACACAGAATAAAGGAGGATGACCTTCAGAGCCAGCCTGTCTGGGACCAATGACAGCTACGTGGCTTCCACCTCTTGGAGTCCAGTTCCCTGATCAACACAACAGGTCATTCTAACTCAGGAACCAGCAAGCCACTCTGTGCCACCTGGCCCACTTCTCCTGGAGAGGCCCTGGTAACCAAGGAACCACTCGACTCTGCCACCACAGCGCACAAACAAGCACCACTAGGTGCTAAAATGTTCTCATGGTAAAAGCAGCAGGCCACATGTGGCCGGTGGCTTGTAGGTAGCTGGCTGACAGTATGTCTCATATGAGAATTCTAGAAAATCTGACAAATATGTGGACAACAGGGAACCTGGAGTTGCAAGATGCTCACTAAACATGAGCTGTTAATCCCGCCACTAACTAGGTCCTCTGGAAGGGTATCTGGGCCCCAGAGAATGAATTCCTGGCCAAGATGACACCAAAAATATGAAAGGCAGAGCTAACACCCAAACCAATCACAGCAGGTAAGTTAGTTATTGCTGAAGTGCATCAGTGGAAAGAACTAGAGTGTTGGATATAATTAATAAACACTTTCCTGAGTGGTCCAAAGCCTCAAAGGGGAAAAAAAACCTGACTACAACAATATACTTGTACTTGCAATGACTTTAAATTTCTGAAGAAAATCCTTTAAGTTGAATTCTATCTAACACATTTGTTACTATGACTGTGGCATTGAAAGAAACAGTCTAAAATCCTAAGATAGGCTCTGGCCTGTGTACCACCCAGCACCATTAAATTAATAGTAAAGTGTAAGAGGACATTGATTTCCCCAGCTACACTAGCTTAAAAAATGGGTCAGAGGGTAGGAAGGTGGCCCAGTGGTAGAGTGCTTGCCTTGCATGCATGAGGCCCTGGGTTTGATTCCTCAGCACCACATAAACAGAAAGCCGGAAATGGAGCTGTGGCTCAAGTAGTAGGGTGCTAGCCTTGAGCTGAAGAGCTGAGGGACAGAGCCCAGGCCCAGAGTTCAGGCCCCAAAACTGACCAAAAAAAAAGAGGTAAAAACTGGGTCAGTGCACACCATCCTGGACTTACTGTTTAAACAACAGTAAACTCAAGCTTTGTAGGCAGGATACAAATAACCTCTTCCTATGCAGACCTGGGTTCACTAGTTGGCCTCATATCAGGAGCTAGATGCAGCTTAGCAACTGCAGTCTTGTGCTCTCATTTTACAAATAAAGTAACAAGCCAGAAGAGGAGGCAGACCAGTCTATCTTCTTCCTCTGACCCCCCACCCCATGTGGTGGTCACTTCATTTCCTCAGCATCATCCATTACCACCAGGAGCAAATCAGAGCGATCGAAACACTGGCCACAGAGTGAGCATCCCTGGACAATGACTCGTTGTGCTCCTTCCGGAAGCTGAGCTCACCTGTCTTCCTCCTAGCTCTTGAGACCTGGGATGCCCAATCCCCACCACTGCTTCTGGTACTCTCTGTCAAAACTAAGTCTATCCTGCTGTTACTCAAGTTATAACCAAGTGAAAGTTACAATCAATTAAATTCCATTTTCTCAATTTCCACTGTGACTGTGTTTAGGATAAGAAGTCTGAAGCTAAACTGAGCAACTCCACACCAGGTGGCCCTGGGCAAGGCCCAGCCGGAGTCCGTACAACCACTCTGAGGACTGAGTACTCTCCAGAGTTCAAGCTCCAGCCTGCATGTTAGAATGTGTAAGTGGAGATAATAAGTAGAAAGAGAAAGGGTCCTGTCGTTAAACATTAGTTTTTATGGTCCCAGCCCACAGCTCCATTGAATCCCACACAGACCCCTCACCCACCGTCATCTTCGCTCCTCTCCCCAGTCATCTCCACAGACTCAGAGAGCGAGGCTAGGGAAGTGCGTCTGGAGGAGGCCGCAGAGGTCACGCTGGCTGGCTTGCTCCCCGGAAGTCGGCTCACCCAGTGCTCGCACAGGGAGGAACTTGTGGAACCTGTGGGAAAGGGGGTGGGACTGAGGTGGGCCTGGCCAGTGTCCAGCCAGCGCTGCCCACCCTCCTGCAGGCGCTGCCAGCTGCGCTGAGCAACGACCATCCTCGTGTTGAGGTGAGACAAAACTCCAGAGCAAACTACTGAGAAAGGATGAAGAACAAATGGCCTGGCAGCTCCTGCTGCCAGATTTATGGTAAGCAACTGACTAATGAAGCAGCATAGCTAGCTCAGGTAGACCTCCAAAATGTGTCCTACCTGCGCCCCGCTCAGACCTTGAAAAGCTCTGAGGAAAGGCTATACTGAGTGGACTTCACACTGCCTGCAGTCAGCAGGCAGCTGTGCAGGGTGGGGTATGGCTCTGTTGCATGACGCTCCCTTTCCCCTCACAAGCTGCGAGAGGGATATGGGGTACCATTTCCCACCCTGGCCTGTTGACACACTACCATGTTCCTCCTCTGCCATGCTTCCTTCAAGGTCACACTCTGTGGTAGGTGGTACGCATCCCTTGCTTGTTCAGATCATGTGTGAATGCATAACAAGTCGTGTGCAGGCACACGTTCCTCCATTCCTAAGACAACAGGCTAGGCCCCATCCCGTAAACCAAACCGCCTAATACTACTACAGCTATCTCCTTCCCCTGACAGAAGGGGGAAAGAACTCTTTCTAATGGCCCCTGACACTTTTATAAAGCACTTTCCCACACTGTTCCCTCATTTTAGCAACTCCCACGAGGTGGGTGCCATGATCATGGCCATATTAAATACGTGTGTGGTTCTGCTGGGACAATGCTCCAAGACAGCACCAGGAAGAGGCTCAGAGCAACATGACAGGGCTGCTATCCAGCTCCACCTCAGACACGGTGCGTGGGGTGAGCCTGGCTCTGCATGCCACTGCATGAATTCTGCTGCCCTGCAGCAGCTCTCCGAAGCTATCCTCACTTCCTTGACTGAAATCACAGTTCCCAGACTAAATAAGAATGTGAGACCGTATCTGATCCAAGTGGTCATTATGAAGACTTCTAGATATTCTGTTCTCTGGACCATGGATTACCACCTCCAGCTCTAGAAGCAACTACCAGAAACCAGAGGCAGTCTTACCTGCCACCGAGCTGTTGGCTGACCATGAGGGGATGGCAGTCCGCCTCTGGTAGAAGAGGATATAGGCCGTCTGCGTGCACACTTCATCTTCTGACAGCTGTTGCACCTCGCTATCGTCAAAGCAGTACCAGAGACCATCCACAGAGTTCTTACAGTACGCTGCCAAAAAAAGCCCACCGTCAGCACCCACAAGGCTGCGCCAGCCACTGCATTCTGCCCTCACACCATCCTTCTCACGTAAATCATCACTTCAAGAACTTTTTTTTGGGGGGGGGCGGGGGGGGGGCGGGCAGGTCAGTCGTGGAGGCTAGAACTCCCTGAGCTCTTAGCTCAAGGCAAGGACTCTACCACTTAAGCCACAGTGCCACTTCTGGTTTTCTGGTGGTTTATTTGAGATAAGAGTCTTACAGATTTTTCCTGCCCAGGCTGGCTCTGAACCACGATCCTCAGACCTCAGCCTCCTGGGTAACATAGGCGTGAGCTACTGGTGCCTGGCTACTTTTTAAGGCTGCACATAGGAATGAAGGGATATTAAGGGGAAAAATCCAAATTCCATATCACATTCAAAAACAAAAAAAGTGCCAAGAAATTTCAAACTATTACAAGAACCTAAGAGTTCTAGTTCATCTTAGAAAACACAATATACTTCCACTGGGTCTCAACCAGAGACAATTTTTCCCTACAAGAGACACTTAGCAGTGAGTAGAAATATACTGATTGTCACTACTGGGGAAGGGCCTGCCAGCTATGTCCACAAACACAGGCTAGAATCAGAGAATGATCTGGGAGGGGGACAAGGAGATAGAAAGTGAGAGAAGGGACCCAGATAAGGAGGCTAGACCAGACAGGTTCGCCAACAAGCAGAGATACTAAGAAAAACAACAGTGGGGTGAGTAGTCACTCTCAGCTGAGGACTTGCCAGACCAGGGAAAGGAGGGGGGAAGGAAGAGAGAGGCCACACCTGCTTGGCCAGGGGGATGAGGCCAAGCAGATACATGAAGGAGCCCGTGGGTGAAGTGACTGCTGCTCTGGAGTGCTGATGGGGGAGGAGCTATAAGGGACACATCCAAGAGAAGGGGACAGAATAACCGTGCTCTAGTTTGTCTGTTTCCCTTCAGTCACCATGTGCAAAACAAGCCACAGAATAACTCACTAATAAGCACTTCAGCTCAACTTGCTCTTCTTCCCCAGCACTGTCTTTTAAAGTTTTTTCTAGGCCAGAGTCACTCAAACTGCGGTTTGGAGACCAGTGCCTTTCTACAACAGAAGCACCAAAACAGAGGTAGGCACTGGAAAATGCTCAGCGCCATCTGATCTGCTGTGGTGTCTTTATTGTATTTATACTGAAGTGTAAACTCTTGGAGAGCTGGGTGTTTGAAAACACAGATGAAGTCTTCATCCTAGAAGGCGTGAATAGCAGCTAAAATCTTCGCAACCCTGTGGTTCACCATGCATAAACCATGTTGTTATACACAAACTAGTGCAAAATGGAGAACACGCCCAGGGAGCCCAAAGGAAAACTTAACTGCATCTTTCATCCAATAGTGCTTGACGTTTTTAAAATGGCCCATAAACTAAGACTAACCACTTTACATAATACCAGACAAGCAGCACCATGGCTAAAGCATGGGAAAGAGGAAAATAATACCAGTGAAGCAGGCATGCTCCCTTCCAGCTCATCTGTGTGGTTCCTGAGCAAAGTGAAGTTACCTGGCCAAGACCACTGAGCTGGGATGACAGGCCTGGGTTCTCACCCAAGCCCGTTTCGCTAAATTATACTAAACTCTGGGGGTGCCAAGCCTTCTCCAAAGCCTGTTCTATATAGAGAGCAGCAGGATTCCAGCACTGTCCTAGCTCCCCTGACTTCTTGCTAGAAAGCACATAACAAGCCAGTCCACACTTTCCTGATGGCTTGTCCGCCAAAGCTGAGGCTGGATGAGTACTAATGAGCAACACGGGCAAAGGTACTACTGCACAAGTTGCTGGTGAAACTAAATAACCACTAAGTCCATTTCCAGTCTAAGAGTCCATGACTTACTATCCAACAACACAGCAATGGCTTTCAGAAAATATAAACAAAGTATGTCAAGTGCCAAATACGATATCGTAACTTCGACCATAACGCCAACTGGGTACACAAGGTAGAAAGTATATTCAAGCACTCAATTTAACTTTCATCTCCTATGAAGTGAGAACATGTGAAGGAGCCTCTCTCTCTCCTGTAAGTGCTTCCCCAGGCAAGCCGAGGCAATCCAAACCACTCCATTATGAGACACTCAAAGGCTGAGACAATTCCTTTCTCCAACAATCGCTGATAGCAATATTTAAATATTTAAAAGAACTGGTACTAAAAAGATTTCAAGAATATAAGATTGCATCTAGTCATCCTCCTGACCTCTCACCCCCAAAACCCAGGAGGAAAAAAAAAAAAGAGCAAGTTGAAAAAGGGTACTGGCAAAGCTGAGCAGGTTGGCAGCACTCCTTGACCTTGCTAAGGGGCAGGGAAGGCTCGTGGCTCACTGCTAAGGATGTTTACCAAAAGAGGCAGAGCCCAGCCCTCCTTCATGTCTACCCCCACCTTTATGAAGCACTAATGTTAAGGAAACCACTACACTGAGGAAGAAAAGGAAGTCCCTGAGAAGTACAAACATGAAGTATATTGAATACAAAGGACGAAGAAATCCGAGTCCTCATCACCTGCACAGATAAACCAACTTAACACACCCACCCTTACGTGAAATACAACCTGCCATGTCTCCCGAGAGTCCATATGCACACCCAACAATTCCATCTCCAATACCATTTCATCTCAATGGAAGGTAGGATTAAAATACAGAAAAGTGAGTATGAACAAAGAAGCTCATTCGTACTTTGAGTTAAAACCAGAAACAATATAGGTGTTCGGCAATGTACAGTCTGTCTAAGAAAAGCAATGTCAGGCCACTTCATCGCCCAAACACAGGAATGACTCCAGCATCACCAGGCAGCTAGCACCTTACCAGTTCAATGAGTGGAGCCACTACCTCTGCCAGCCCCTGAGGGAGCAAGGTGCAAGCAGCAGATTACTAATCTCAGTGGGTTCTCCTGGCCCTCAGCACACCCAGCCACATACTCCTCTGGTACCTACCTCCCCTACCTCACTACTACCTTCCTACATTTTATTTGTATCTATGTCTCCCCCTTATTTGATTACACCCTGGAAACTAGAGGCTAGATCTATTTGTCTCTGATGTGGCAGAGTCCACGGCAAGCTAACTATAAGGTGCCTAATAAATGTTCACTTGGAACAGAATACACTAGAATCATCATAATAGTAGAAAATAACAACCAAGAAGTTAGGGGAAAACACTGAACATTTATCAAACTTTTACAAACATATGACAAGACCTTGTCTAGCCTTCAAAAGGAAATTCTGATGCATGCTATAACACAGACAGCCCTTAACACATTACACTGAACAGAATAAGCCAGCCACAAAAGAATAAACATGGTGGGATTCCAGTGATCAGAAGTACCTAGAAGAGTCAAATCCACAGAGACAGAAAATGGCACAGAGTTACTGCTTGGGAAGATGAGAGAAATTCTGGAGATGAATTGTAGTGGTGACTGAACAACAATATGAATAGACAGTGTCACCAAATTATAAACTTCAATGTGACCAAAATGGTAAGAATTTTGGTGGCATGTGTCCTATCACAAGGGTTTAGGATATGAGCTGTGGTTATTTTGAGTAACAAGCCCACCCTGGCATTCATCATTCTCTTTTCCCTCACTCCTTATAGTTTATAAGCTTCTTAAGAAACTAGAGTTGCTTTTACAAGTGGAAAACAAAACCAAATCAGCACTATAAATGTGGTTCACAATCATCTGGATTAAAGAGATGCCAAAACCCTCAAGCAACCAGAGAGCAAAGCCTCAAGTGAGCAGCCTGCTGGGAAACACAGAGCATCCTCAGGGAGCAGAACACGCTGTCTGTGCACACGTTCTCATATGGGGAGAAGCAGGAAGACTTGCCAGCACAGGCACTGGAGAAAAAGGAGCTTCAAAGCCACGTGCCCCTCGCCCTCCCACCACCACAAAGCAGACAGCCTGAAGGGAGCAGCGCATAAACACGCAGCCTCTTGAATTGCAGACCTGTGTAGTGCCCCCCTTGCATGGTGCCATGGTGGTTGCACACAGCATACAGGTCATAGATGGAGTCCTCAGGGTCCCTCCCGAGTCCATAGGGCCGTCTCCACGGGGACCAATGGGATGGCAAGCTCCAGCTGCTCTGGCTTCTCTTAACCACATGAGGTGTCATGTCCAGGCCAGTCAAGGGGAACTTGACCATGTTCTGAAGTTTCATACGCCTGTCTCCTTCCTGTTGCAAGAAGAAAAACAAGTTCTGATGACATTTTAATGTAAGCAGATGGCAGATGAGTTTACGTGTGGAATGTGGACGCTATCAGCTAAAGCAGTTTGAGACACTTATCTGATGTTTCCCAAGACAAATCAAACAGGGAAAGAAATGAAGTTTCAACTGGCTGAAGGAACAAGTTTCAGCACAAAACTTTAGGAACCAGAAAGGATCTACAAATAGGGGATAAATAAGCCCATCTGCATTTTCCATTTCCTTATCATTAAAGGTTTTTGGGATTAAAGATAATTCCAGGTGGCTCATCATGATACCTCTGTCAACAAGGCAGGAGAATGACAGAGTGACAGCTGCGTCAAAGGCAAACCCCAGCACCCAGCACACAAGAGTCAGGCAGTTCCTCCCTTCACAAGTTCATTAGAAGTTCTCACGGACAGGCTGGGCAGCGGTGCTGGCTCATACCTGGAACTCTAGGCACTCAGGAGGCTGAGATTCAGAAGATCCTGGTTTGAAGCCAGCTGGGCAGAAAAGTCCACAAGACCCCACCACCAAAATAACCAGCAAAAAGCCAGGATGTGGGGCTCAAGTGTTAAAGTGCCAGCTGAGCAAACCAAGCCACACAAACACAAGACCCTGAGTTCAAATCCCAATAACAGTGCAAAAACAAAGGTTCACAATGATTCAGCTGATACAGTCACTGAGCTAGCAACCTGGGCAATCTGTAATTTCCATGAAGCCCAGAGGAGAATCTCTTGAAAGCCAAACATTAGTTGAATAGATATGACTGCATATTCCTGTGTTCACAGGACATTTACAACAATAAATCAGAGATGTGCCACCCAAAAAAGTATTCAGGAGAGGAAGGCACAACTGGCCCTCAACAGGCTCACTCGGGAGCCAAGGGGTACACTGAGGCTTTCAGCCGACTCATGGCTGCAGTGCATAAAATATGTTAGGGGAGGACTCAGTCACAGAGGCTAAGAAATCCAGCAGAAGATGTCAAGTAAGAAGGAGGAAGAGGGGCTGGGAAGGTGGCTCAGTGGTAGAGTGCTTGCCTTGCATGCATGAGGCCCTGGGTTCGATTCCTCAGCACCATATAAGCAAAAAGCCGGAAGTGGCACTGTGGCTCAAGTGGTAGAACGCTAGCCTTGAGCTGAAGAGCTGAGGGACAGCACCCAGGCCCAGAGTTCAGGCCCCACAACTGGACCCCCAAAAAAAAAAAAAAAAGAGGAAGAGAGACAGAAGGGAAAGAGACACACAGGAGTCAACAGAAAGGCTCAGCCAGGCTGCAGAAGGGCCTGCCCCCAGAACAGCAGTGGAGAGAAGTCACAGACGCAATGCAGCTTTGAGTTTGGGGCTCTGGAAGGAGATGACGGATCATCAGAAGAAACAGCAAGTATAAGGAACCGGTCTGTGTAAGAGGAAAGAAACCCAAATGGCTGGCATTTGAACCCTCAGCCGGCTGTCCACCTGCAAAGCCCAGCAGAGCAAATGCCCAAGTGTCACTCTGTGGGCCACCTCTGCTGCCTCCTCCCAAGCCATTCCCATCCATCTATCCATCGCCACGACAGAGCTCTGGCCCAAGCCATCAGCAGTCCTCTCCAGATGCATGAAGGCTCCTCCAACTCTCCCTCTAGCTTCTTCTGCTCTGTATGTAGCCATCAGAAATATCTTTCCAAGATACTGACATGGCAGTGCTGTGTCACTGCTAAAGTGCCCCCACAGAATCCTACACCACCCAGAGCCTGCCTGGACCACCACCCTCCACCACCCCTCTCTCTCCAATGTGCCACCTGGAGTGCAGTCCCTCTGGCTTGTTTGTAGCCCAGGCAAGGCCCTGTATCTACACTGTCCACTCCACCACTGTGTGTGCACCTGGCTTCCATCTTCCCTAGAAACACGTGCTCATCTTTCACACACAAACCTTCTTACACAGCCAGGCCACAGGAACTCCATGAATGCCCACCTCCCACATCTCGAGAAAGGGGGGGGGCCACCTGGGGCAATCCTGACCTCAGAAACAGAACCTCAGCCTTTTTCAAAGACAGACTCACACAGCCAGACAATGCAGAGCAGTTCTCTAGTTCTTACTCATCTCCACTCAGATTAAGAAGAACTCCTTATCACATTAGGTAGAAATAGATTCTGCTTCCTAGGGAAAGACTGTCACTTGTTGTTTTTTTTTTCTTAATCCCAAAGTAAATACACCCAAATTTAAGCACAACATTGACAAGTCTAACACAAACCCTCAAGCATGAAGTAATAAAACATCTGCAGTATGAACTGCAACATTCAGGATGTAAAGGGTGAGAACACAACATGACCCCAGGTGGAGACACCTGTGTCTGCACCTATCTAGCCGGGTCCAACAGTGATGGGAAGGAAGCCAGGGGAAGCGGGGATGGCGGGAGCCAGGACAGCACATGTTCTTACCTGGCGAAACCTCTTGAGGTGGATGATGAGCACGTCGGGCAGCGTCCACAGGCTCAGCGTGATGCTCCCCTGCTGCAGCTGTTTACAGTGCGGACAGCGCCAGGCATCGTCCGGGGCAAGCTAGAAGCAAGCAATGAAGCTGGGGTTAGGTTCCACTTAACAGACGGGAGACTGTCACAGCAACAATGTCCTCCACTCAGTCCCTCTGGGCTGCACAAGGAGAGCAATGCAACACCACCACCACCACAGGCCCTGGCCAGCATCAGCACCCGATACCTGCTGACCAGACATCCCACAAAGAGAACAACTACCAAGGAGAATGTTAGATGTCACAGAAGTACCCCCAAGCCTAGCACACCCCCACACCCGACTCATCATCTTCCAACCAACATGAACCCTTCTTTTAAACACCTGTATGTCCTCTTGCAGCAAACCCAACCGCTGCCCTCTAAAGGTGAAAACATGGGGTTACCCAAACCCTCAAATCCTTCTAGCTTTGTCTCACTCCACATCCACCCAAATTCTCTCCCTGCCAATTCTCAGCCTGGCTGCTCTCCTCCATACCACCCCCACTGCACATCTGTCACCTCGTGACGACCTCTCCCTCCTGCTGTCAGATCCATCTGTCATCTCGTCAAGACGGTGGTACACTACTTCAAGGTATGAACCTGTGAGATTCGTACATTCCTCCATGTTCAGAAGGTACATCAGATGTGAGGAGGAAAGGAAAGCCCTGTGATAGAAGACATTCCCATTGGGAAAGAAGAGAAAGGAGCCAAGGACAGAATCTTGGACCAGTTAAGAGAAATACCAAACCTCAAAGGCCACCAGAGCCTGGCAAGAAAAAGGGAAATCTCAAGTATTCCCCTTATGTATACCAAGAGGAATGCTGGGCACAACTGGTGATGCTCAGCAGGTCATAACACCATAGGCAATGTGGAGGGCAAGTAAAGCCAAATGGGAGTCAGACAGGACAAAAGGCTGGAGGATGGAGTAACACTACTACCAATAAACTTAAGCAGATCAGTGGAGGACAAAGTTTATGGTCATTTCACTAAAAGGGACCAAGGAGTGTTTTCCTGATAAGGGGACTCAGTGTGTAAGGGGAGAGGGAAGCACGAAATCTGACTAGAAGGGGATCAAACTATCACGTGGCAAGTTCATGTCTCTGTGATGTATTAATGCTTCCCAACCACCCTAGTGCTTGTAGTAAAGGCAGGTTTCTGTTTGTTTAAATGCCAATGTATTTTAAAGACACAGTAGGAGTGTTGCAAGTGTCTCTTAGCTTTGCTTTCTATTCTGACCTGTACAGTTATTGAAAATGCCTAGGCTGAAAAGCAGGCCACACTCCAAGCATCCCTTGGTTTGGTTGCCCCTACCTGGCAATAAAGGGCCCAGAGATCAGCAGTCTGCTATGGAGGTGTTCCTCATATGAATACAAGCTCACTCATTCCCAGTCTTTATCCTGTGCTTTTCATATAAAGTAAAGGCCAACCCCCTATCCACACAAGTCTTCCATGAGCCTGAAGGACATCAGATTCTTTACAGGCTTCCTCAGCCACAATACACTTGCCCAGGTCATGACTCCCAGGCACCATCCATTCCCTCTTCTCTCTCTGGCTCTGTCCCCATTTGCCATCCTAACCTGACCACAGAAAGCCATGAAAACAGGGTGTGTCTCTAAAGCTTCCATCCGCCAGCATGACAGTGTCTCATGCCTTTGTGGCCCTGCTGACCAAAACACTGAGCTTGCAGATAGCTAGACCCAGAGCCCAACCGCACAGCTCATTGCTAAAGCCACACGCACCTCTTGGAACTCCTACTGCTGTTTTTGGCCCAATGCTCATGAACTTCCCACAGACTGCTCACATAGTCCAGCACACAGTTACTGCACACGTTCCAGGGTGCCAAGTGCTGTTCAAGAACCTACGATATCTCCTGAGAGAGTGAACGAGCCAGCCACACTGGTCTGGTTTCTGTTTTCCAGCTATGCCAGGCTTCATCCTGCCCCCAGGACCTTCTCCTCCTCCTCATTAACCTTTCATGGTCTGTGAGCCATTCATGGGCAGAAGCATTGTCTTGCCATGCCTCCTGTGTATTCTAGTGTTCCAGGGACTACCTGGCACACAGTAGGTACTCTGTGTTGACTCCTGTGTATCCCAATACATCATTCACTACCCAGCACACAATAAGTACATTTGTCTGCCTTGACTCTAAGTCTAACACAGAGTAGGCATGATGTCTGTCTTGATCCCTGTGTATCCCAGTGCACTGGGTACTACCTGGCACATAGTAGGTACTTGTTAAACATCTAAATGTTTAAGCCACCATTGAAATCCATCTGTCTAGCATGAACTAATTACTGTAGGCTGTGAGAGATCTTCCATGGATACCAATGGTGTCCAGTAGATCTGCTCCCTCTTGAGCTCGGTGGCATTCTCAAACATCTATCAGGTCAATTTTTTTATAAGAGCTAAAAGGGACAGGATATATGCATGCCACAGACTGCAATCAGCCAGTTTCAAAGCCAACTATTTTAGCCCAGAACTGAACAGGAATTTAAAATATATATATATATTAAGAAAAAGTATTGTTAAGCCGGGGCTAGTGGCTCACGCCTATAATCCTAGCTACTCAGGAGGCTGATTTCTGAGGATTGCGGTTCAAAGCCAGCCTGGGCAAGAAAGTCCGTGAGACGTTTATCTCCACTAAACCACCAGAAAACCAGAAGTGGCACTGTGGCTCAAATGGTAGAGCACTTGCCTTGAGCTGAAGAGCTGAGCGACAGTGCCCAGGCCCAGAGTTCAAGCCCTACGTCTAACATAAAGAGAGAAAGAGAAAGAAAAAGAGGAAGGGAGGAAGGAAGGAAGGAAGGAAGGAAGGAAAGAAGGAAGGAAGGAAGGGTATTGTTAAAGGAACTAGCTGGCAACAGCTTTATTCTGTGAGAATACAGAAACCCTTTTCAAATATTGCAAGATGTGTGCTTTTGTTAGAGTACTAGATCCAAGTTCAAGTTATAGGGGCAGGGTGAGGAAGGTGGGGAAGCAAGGGAGAATGATAGCTGACACCTGTATTCTTAGTACAAAAGTGCTAGGTTCAGAAGCATTGTTTTCATTACTAAAGAAAATAAAATTTCTAACCTTAAGCAAATTAACAAAAACAAATACTACTCATGACTAGCTAATAGAAAAATGTAGAATTTACAAGGTTAGCTTCTAGAGTACTATATTTCATCAGAAGTTTGAAGTACTTCTGGTTGAAGTCCTAAAAGGAACCACATTGGCTATAGCATGCGCAAAGATGCCACTCCTGCGCACTGTCTGGAGCAGAATCGCTGGCTCTGGTCATCGTCAGCCTCCCATGGTGTGGGTGGGGGTGGGGTGTTTGCCGGTACTCTCGCCTCTCACCCGCTCCTCTTTGGTGTAGAGCTGGAAACACTGGGATAAAGTGCAGGTCTGAGGCTGCTGGTGGTGCTCCCTCTGTAGACGGACGCTCTCCGCGTCAGGGATATACTCATCTTCTGTGTTTATGAACAAGCTGCAAACAGCGGGAGCAGTTAACAGAGAGCATCTTGCAAAACAGACAAAAAAAAATATAACTGCAGCTTTACAAAGTGGCTATGACCTCATAACAAAAAAGGTCAATGTGGAAGACAGCCATCCAGCTTCCATGTACCACGACATTCTGGAAAAGCTCTCCATTTGCAATGCTATTTTATAAACTTGGTAGTTGGCTTTTCTGGCAATGTCTATGAACTGTACTGGATTAAATCATGTGTTTCTTGTCCTTTGTATCTTAGAGCATATGTTCCACATAGCTTACTAAAATTGATGGGCCTGAAACAAAACTGAAGTAATACTTAATGAATTCAGCTCCCCTCTCAGCAGAAAATAAGTGTTGTAAGGTTCTAGGACTAGGAAGAATGTGTAGGAAAAGAAATAATAAACCTCTTAATGAATTAACAACAGATTTAGATACTTAGCTAAAAATAAGACCGACTTGTTAAAGAAAAAGAGCTATGTTTCAGCAAATTTGACAGCTCAAAGGTGCATAGCCAAAATGATCATAAAACAATGAATCTGAATACTAAGTATTCATATACATATATATATATATATACATATATATATATATATATATAATATAGACATAGATATACTCACAAATCTTTTGTCTCCTTGTCCCATTCTACTACTAACTTCACATGAGCTGTGCCGCCTGGTCCACAAGACTTTAATGCCCTACAGAAACAGGAGGAAAAGTCACATATTATTTTCTAAAAGCAAGATTTTACTGAACTGTGAATATGTTCTCTAACTGGAATCAGGTGATTGTGGAAAATCTTCTATTCCTCATCAGAACAAGTTCATAGTGAGATCATAACTTCAGATTTAATACCTAGTTAACAAGTAAACTGAAAAAATACGTAAATTAAAAGGTACAGTATGCAAATGAAGAGACAAAAGAAAATTCAGTATGGCAGTGTAAGGCATCTAGTCACTGGCATATTCTCTATCACCTTTCCGACTTTTCTCAGTTTCTCCCCAACCCAAAGACAGAGTCAAGATTCTGGTCAATCATCTGCCCTCACATCCCTCCCCTGACACATGCCTAGTTGCTTGTGCCCATGCCAAACACTCCATGCCCTCCTCCTCCTGCATCCTTCACAAGGCTACGCCATCTGATCATTAGTCCTCACCATTTGCTGGAAAACTAAGCACACGCACAGCTCATTTTTATCATCTCATCATTTTTTAATGCCATGCAGTATTTTGGATTATTATCTCATCTATTAACTTTCATGTCTAAACCCAAATAGGGAGCTTTGAAACAAAACTATGTCAGTCCTGAAATGTAGGCAGGCACCAATGTCTGTTGGGAAAAACCTCTGTAAGAAGACCAGTTTGAGTTTTCATACTTTCCCATGCACCTACGTGTACACGAATCACATGCAGACACCCTCTTTCACCTTATATCAGACTAGTGTGAACATCACGGAAGTGTATAGGAGGCACAGATGCAGCAGAGTGTGGGGAAGAGGGGTTCCTGGCAGAGGAAGGGGCACAGGTACATGGTTAAAGCTGTCACATACGCAAACAACCATGAGTTCTGATGTGAGGCAGGCTTAGGGCAGGGGGGAGAGGAAAGCAAGGCTGGCCAGAGAGAAGCATGGAGTCACAGAGGACACTTTCCTCTGCTGTGGAACTTGTGCTTTGCCTTTGAGGCCACCAGACACCAAGTAAGGGTTTCAAGGAGGATGGAGGCCTGACAGAATGCTACTCCGCAAACTTTCCATCATGGTGACTATGACAGCATAATTTACCTGTAGATCTATTACATACATGATTTTCCTAATGTGAGTAAACGGTGGCTTTTCTGATTTCAAGAAAAATCATTAAATACTTCCCACTCAATATGAACCAAAATTGAAGTATTTAATGTGCAAATGAACTTACAGAAACAAATACCATTACATAGGAAAAACAGCAGACATCACTCTTGATTAAACACACGTGCAAAGTCCACAAGTAGTTCTGGTTTGCCTCACTGCTTACCTTTCAACTGTTGGGTGGCACAGGGGCTGCTCCTCCTGGGGCAGCAAGTACGTTATGCCCACAACACTGACCACACGCAAACTGAATGGACACACCTGCAACAAGCATCCAGTGAGAATTAGGCTGGATTCCTCACCAAGGGCATTTCCAAACAGACCAAAAGTGGCAAATGGCTCATGCTCAACATGTGCCTCTTCAATGTTCTGCTATATGGCTGAGTCACTCTGTAATAACCACATATGATCGCTCAAATTCAATTACATATCAAATGTTATGTAGATCTAAAAATATATTGCTTTTATGGAATATTATGCAGCCAAAATAATGGCATTTGCAGGGAAATGGATTGGAGCTAGAAGGAATCATGTTGAGCGAGGTAAGCCAAGAACGAAGAGGCAAATGGTACATGGTCTCCCTGATAAGTGGATGCTAAATCCAAAATGTTAGGTGATATGACAAAACTAACAGGACTTAAGAAACAAAGAACTCCCACTCATCTGGTTGAACCACTACTTAAATATCCCATGCTGCTGATCACATATATGGTATATAACATGTGAGCACCGTTATATATTACAGACTGTGATAGATAATTTGCTCCAGGAAAGTTAGAATGAACTTGTGACTTTAAATGAGCATCATTATTCCACAATACTGTGAATTTCCGGAAATTATGTAACCACTTAATCACAATCAAAAAAAAAAAAAAAAAAAGAACCTCGGGGAAGGGAGGGAGGGAGGGGATGGTAGGGGGAAAACAATGGAGGGGGTAACAATGTTCAAGAGGAAGTGTACTCATTACCTCACTCATGTAACTGTAACCCTCTGTATAGTATCTTTACAATTAAAAAAAAAGTAAAAAAAAAATATATATATATATATTGCTTTTACTGAATACTCACATGATATAGTCTTCTGTGGACACCTAAACCCAGTAATAATATGTATAAAACACCAACATAGAGATTCGAAAACTTCTCCAAGTTGATTCTGTACCAAACACTATTAAATAAACACTATAAAAGATTATATAGCCCTTAAGGAAACCTTATGGTGGTCAGCCCCTTCCATAAAAGGAGGGATATTTGAAAATTTGAACCAAATAGATTTCTCACAGTGAGTATTTCTTCACTGGGGCACTTGCATGCTCTATTGGAATATCAGCACACTACAAACCTGAATGCAAACTGAGGGCCTCAAGAAATACTTCATCTTCTCCAGGATTTCCTTCTGCAAAAGGTCCCATGCCACTGTCTTCTCCAAGTGCAGGACAAAAGGCAGTCCAAACCTACCACACACCAACACACAGTCATGACTTTCCAAAAATTCAAGCCCTTCAAGGTTGTCATGTCACATTCAATGGAATCACACTATGACTGGTTTTAGGACAGTCCCTAAACAGGAAGACCACAACAGCTAGACTTCTAAACAAAACCATGTAGCTCCTACCCCCAGGGCCTGGAGAGGAGCAGGTGCTAGACAGCAAGCGCAGGGTCAGCAGAGCCAGCAAGAGGGTGGCATGTGCAGGGGACTGACACAGAAGATACCAGGTAAGGGCTGGACGTGGTTGGAGGTCCCACAGGCTGGTAGACATACAAGGGAGGCACTAGCAAACAAGTGACTGAGAGTTGCTCTAGAACTAAAGTTCTCTCTGGGGTTCCCATGTCCCAGAGCCTCAGAGGCAGTTGTGAGGTGTTCAGCTTCTGTTGCGCATCATCATTTACACAGGAGCACTGAAAACTGGTACCCAAATCCAGCCTCAAAGGTTCTGATGAAATCAGTGTGGAATGTAGCCCAGCACTGAGACCTCTCAGGAGCTAGCCAGTGATTCTAACTTACAGATGAAGGCCTGGCCTCCACTTCCATCCATGCTTGCATTCCTGAAACCTGCATGCTGATCCTCAATGTCTTCCTCCCCCACCCAGGTTCCAGGCAGGCTGATGCCACCTGCCTTCCTCCTGGCTCTATATTGCAGTGATGGTCCCTTCTCCATTACAGAAGGGATCATCAGTCATCCTGTGAACTACAGTACCAATGACCCAGGTGGATAATCTGCCTTACCACTCACATGCTACATGAGAATAAAACTGCCATCTGTTTACCCTGGTAGCCCAGTCAGCCCTTGTGTAGAAAACAGCAGATGCTCAATGCATGATCTAGCAGATGAGCTGACTCAGGCCCAGGCTGAAACAGAGGCATGAGAACACCAAGAAACCTGCTCCTAAAAGCACCTAGCTCTTTACTCAGAAGAACTTTACCTCCTGAAAACCTGGGTGATATGAAGTGAATTCCATGTACCCGACCATACATTCATAAGACATTAACTCTAAAGAGACTTGTGCCATAACAGCAATTCCACAGGTCTCCTTCACTTCATGTGGGACAGCAAGCTGCCTGCCATGTGCCTTAACCATGCCAAGCTCCTTCAGCCTCAGTGTCATGTGGCTCACTCCTTCTCACAGGACTGCGTTGGCTGTAGCCTCCAGCCTCCCTCTGGGAGGAAGCCTTCCCAACCTCCTCCATTGCAACCTCAGCCAGTACAGACCCACAGCCTCTCCTCATTCACACCCTAGCTGTCTGGTCTGTGTTGATACTGTCAACACAGTAAGTGAGGTATGCTTGCTTGTCCAAGGTCAGCCTGTCCTGACTAGGAGGCTGGCCATCTAGAGCAAGGCCCTGGCTATCTTCCTCGCTGCTCTATCACCTGTGCTCAGAACAGTGCCTGGTAACAATTTTGTTCATAAATATCAGAAATAATCACATCAACAATTTTACAATTATATTACTGACCACCCAAGGGACTTATCTCGAAAATTTAGAAAGCTCACTTTTATACAGACTATCCTTCCTGACAAATATTAGAAAATGCTATCCTTTCTCCCTGAAATAACACAGGTGACACTACTGTGGTAAAAATTACTTTGCAAAATAGTCTGAGCTCCATGCTGGTGGCTCAAACCTAGCTGCTTAAGAGGCCCAGATCTGAGGATTGTGGTTCGAAGCTAGCCCAAACAGGAAAGGTCCTGAGACTCTGATTAATCACAGAAAAGGCCAGAGCGGCACTCCAGCTCAAGTGGTATACCACTAACCTTGAACAAAAGGAGCTCAGGGATGGCGCCCAGGCTAAGTTCAAGCCCCAGAACAGGCAAAAAAAAAAAAAAAAAACGGTAAGTCTGAAATGCCCATAAATTCTCAGGGAAGGCAACTGGGAGACTGGAGAGATTTCTGAATAGTGGTGTCAAGGGCCCGTTTCACAGGAGAAGAAAGAGAGTCCAGCCTGGGGCATGACACTGAGAAGTGTACCATCCAAGTAGATATGTTAAGAACTGGAGAGGGGGTGAGAAGATAGTGGGGTTTGAACTCAGGGCCTTATGGTTGCTAGCCTGGCACTCTACCACTCTAGCTACAGCTACAGCCCAAGAATTGTTTTTTAAGCTGTTAAGAAAGTAACTCATTCAAGTTTAAATAGTTAAGGCCTCAAGAGTGCTTTAACTAAATCAGACATGAGATTAGCCTTCAAAAGTACAAAAGCTTTAATAGCCACTTCTGACTCAGATTCTCAGTCCACTTATGTGGAGGACTCATTCATAGGTTCCTCTAAGTCTCAGAATCAAAAATTAACTATTACTAGGCAGTAGGCGAAGGCAAGAGGATCAGAAGTTCAAGGTCAGCCTCAGCTATATGAGACCCTGCCTTCAATACATAAATTCAGCTAGGAAAAGTACGTATTTTCACCCCTGTCTTGGAGCAACTGGGAAACAGGCTAGTTCTCACCTCTTCCCTTGCTGTCCTGTGCACACTCGGTTGCACACCAGCAGGACAATCTTGTCACCTCCTGTTCGGGAGCTGGGCAAGTCTATTCTCCCCTGCTTGGCTGCTGCTTGTAGTGGGGAAGATAATCTATGATGATCCAGGCCAAATTTCAGGTGGTTTAGATTATTGTTTAAGTGAATGCCTGGAAAAGATTAAAAACAACTCACATTATCTCCTTGAAATTCCTTTCATTGATTCATTACAAAGAAACTGACCTAATGTAAAAAATAAGAAATTGTCATTATATAAACTACCATCAAAAATAGGCACAAATACTCCAGCATGAGACTGATTACTCATCAAGCTAGTAAGACAGGTTATAGCATCCATTATTTCCTTCAAATTAGTCTCCCCTATCTCACACCTGAAAACCAAAACTCTCTACTTCAATAATCATTAGGCAAGTTTTAGAAGGGTAAGTTACGGAGTTGATCTGCAATAGAGTTTAAAGACAGACCCAGTAACAGCCCATGAAATGGATTTTAAAAAGAAAACAATAAAAACAAGAGCATCTGGAATGATCTACAGTGTTCCAAGAGCAGGTTTTTGTCCCTGAAAGAAAAGATAAAACCCCCCTTCCTAGACAAAGCCATTATGAGAACATGACTAGCCAAATGGACCAACCCACATTGAAGTGAACAAGACCCAAGTTTCATAGGCAGAGACTGGACTTCAGAGTCTCCTCCAGTCAATCACGTTACTCAATCAGCACACAGCACAGGGCAGGCAACTAATCAATGCCTGACTGAATATCCATTTACATTTTTATCTTCTGGAAGGAGGCAGCTAATGAAATAATACTCCAGCTGAAGGACAAAAGAAGCCCCTTTCTATCAATATCATAATAACTCCAAAAAAGAGAATAAAGTAAAAATGGCTTCCAAAAAAGGATACATAGCAGAGTTCTATGAATAAATAAGTAACATAAAAATCAAGCAACATATGATTTGTTATTATATATCAACACAACCCAGCACTGGTGGCTCACAACCATAATTCTACCTACTAGAAAGCTAAGATCTAAGAATTGTGGTTTGAAGTCAGCCCAGACAGAAAAGTCCGAGAATCTTTTTTTTTTTCCTTTTTTTTTGTTGGTCGTGGGGCTTGAACTTTGGGCTTGGGAGCTGTCCCTCAGCTCTTTAGCTCAAGGTAAGTGCTCTACCGCTTAAGCTACAGCGCCACTTCCAGTTTTCTAGTGGTTTATAGGAGATACGAGTCTCGTGGACTTTCCTGCCCAGGCTGGCTTTGAACCATGATCCGCAGATCTCAGCCTCCTGAGTAGCTAGGATTACAGGTGTGAGCCACCGGCGCCCGGCTTCCCTGAACATCTTCTCTCAATTAACCACCAAAAAGCCCGAAGTGTAGCTGTGGGTCAAGTGGTAGAATGCTAGCCTGGAGCAAAACAAAAAAAAAGCTCAAAACACAGCACTCAGGCCCTGAGTTCAAGCCCCAGAACCAGCACATGCACATACAGGCACACACACCTGCACATGTAGCTACAAGAAAGCGCAGATAAGGAGAGACAGATAGCACCTTTATGCAATATCAAAATGTGTGAAAATTATACAATGAACAGTTGAAGGGTCAGATGTTCAATACAGAGGAGGCAGGTTTGGAGTCCAAAAAGATCACCACTGGCTACAAGAGAAATAGGGATTTGACTGGACACAAGAAAACTGACAGACATAAGGAAATGAGAATGGAAAAGACAGCAGTATGTACCTTTACTACAATCCTGAAAAAGAACTGCACCGTCACAGAATACTTGAAGGGATAAACAGTGGTCAGCTCTGCACACTCGGGTGCATTATGGAAACAAGTGTGCCTTTACCTCTTTGACTGAGAATTCCTTCAGGCCTAAATATTTCTGGAGTCTCAAAGGCAAAAATGCAGTCACTTTCATGGACAGTCTCCAGGTCGTCTGTATCACAAAAGGAACGATGGAACCCATCATAGTACATTTCTGTTAACACAATCTAGAAAAACGGGGAAAATGTCAACAGTTGCATAAAACTGGAGATTCGACATGCAATGATCTCCCAATTGTACCATGAAACTTCTCAGGACTTGCTATGAAATGATTATACTTGCCTTTAATGACAGAATCTTAGGACAATATCTGCCCTAATTCTGTAACTTACTACACACTGGTTTCAGAACTCCACGGCACTAAATGCAGAACTGCTTTAAGCCGGAATATAAAACAGAGCAAGAAGCAGCACCTAAACCCCTTGCCTTCACAGCAGGGAGAGAAAGAAAGTCTCAAGACTCACACTATTCAAGCCCCATGGAGAGACGAGAGTCCACATCTGACGTTCTTTATATATCATTACATTTTCCTCTTCTCAAGTTAAAAATGCCAAACAAACATGGACATCCATATTAGAGAAAAAACTGAAATCAAATCATATGTCCAGCAATAAGAATAATTAGTACAGCTGGGCGCTGGTGGCTCACGCCTGTAATCCTAGCTACTCAGGAGGCTGAGATCTGAGGATTGTGGGTCAAAGCCAGCCCGGGCAGGAGAGACCGTGAGACTCCTATCTCCAATAAACCACCAGAAAACCAGAAGTGGCGCTGTAGCTCAAGTGGTAGAACGCTTGCCTTGAGCTGAAGAGCTGAGGGACAGCGCCCAGGCCCAGAGTTCAAGCCCCACGACCGACAAAAAAAAAAAGAATAATTAGTACACTAAAGACCTACTAATACTATGAAACTCTTAAAGAGAATGAGCTAGATATGTTTGTACTAGCAAGAGGAAATCGAAGTAAACACCCATCAAGGTAAAGAACAATCTAAACAAGTAATTCCACCTTTAGAAACTAATGGTAGTTACTACTAAGCTAACTAGTATTTTCACAGAGGAAAATCTGAATGAACACTAGTGTTAAAGCTTGCAGTCCTGAGTACTGAGAGCCTTTCCCTTTCCTGGCTGTACATGTGAAATGGGAACAATGACTTCTAGGTACTTTACAGATTGCAGAGAAAGCAGAGCTGGGGGAGAACACTGCAGACATCTAGAGCCTCATTTCCCACCCAGCAGCAGTGACCAGGGGAAAAGCACTGTGATAGATAAGGAGGTTCCCAGTCGTGGTCAGCCACCAACCAGCACTGCAGCCCTGAACCAGGCACATGGCTTCTATGGGCCTCCTACAACAATAAGGAGGGGAAGATTGTCCTGCACTTCTAAGGTTCCCCACCAGTACTAGCATTCTGGAAGACTATGAGCTGAAAAGGGCTGGTGACATAGACGAGGAAAAATGTTCCAGGAAAATGTTCCTTTCTAATTAATTTAATGGCTATGATCTTTTTCTGCTGGTAAACTTGCAAGTACAACTCATTGTCCAGCAAACTGAGGTCAAAAGCAAAGCTATAATTATTCCACCCATTTAAAGCCAGCAGCAAAACTTTAGACATATATCTTATCTGTCTTGGACATTACCACAGCCTGCCTCCCCTAACTTGCCTCATCCTGGAGGAGCAGGAAGAATGTGAACACTTTATCAATGTGCCAGTACCTGGCCTGTGAAAACATGACAGATTTGCTGTATTAGGGTAACACTGCTGACTGTATTTGTTTTACTGTGGCACCTTCCCAAATGAGGTCACAGGAGGCCAAAGTACAAAACACCTTTATCATGCAAGTGTACATAGTAGCTTCCAGAAGCTATATAGGGAAAAACTATTTAGGCTCTAAGTTACCTTTTACTTGGTAAATCTAAAATAAGAAATGTCTTTCCCCAAGTGGCTCATGCCTATAATCCTAGCTATTCAGAAGGCTGAAATCTTAAGGATCATGGTTCAAATCTAGCCTGTAGAGGAAAGTCCATGAGATTCTTATCTCCAAATAATTACCAAAAAAAGCTGAAGTGGAGTTATGGCTCAAATGGTAGAGCATTAACCTTGAGCACAAAAGCTCAAGGAAAGTGCCCAGACCCTGTATCAGGCCCTGAGTTCAAGCCTCAGGACTGGACTGGAAAAAAAAGAAAAAGAAAAAGGGAAAGGAAAAGGAAAGAAAGAATGAAAGAAAAGAAAGGAAAGAAAGGAAGGAAGGTAGGTCTTTCAGATAAAAATCATAATAGTGTGGGAGCTGGGAAGGTGGCTCAGTGGTAGAGCGCTTGCCTTGCATGCATGAGGCCCTGGGTTCGATTCCTCAGCACCACATAAGCAAAAAGAAAAAAGTCAGAAGTGGCGCTGTGGCTCAAGTGGTAGAGCGCTAGCCTTGAGCTGAAGAGCTGAGGGACAGCGCCCAGGCCCAGAGTTCAGGCCCCATGACCGGACCCAAAACAAAAACAAAACAAACAAACAAAAAAAAAAAAAACCTGTGCTCAAGTTACTGGGTATGTTTGTGTCTGTCTGTGTCTGTGTGTATAGACAATGAAAGGAAACATAAAAAATCTTTTCTACATATTTTACTCTCTTGGGTCTTGATTTTTTTTTTTACCCTCAACACTAAATGCAAATGGTTTTCAATCTCAAATATATTTGGCAGAGATTTGTAAGAAATCCCAGAAAATCAGAAAGCAGCACTTCTGAAGCTTGAGTGAAGCTGTCTCAGCAGGGTAATTACCTGATCAGTGGGGATCTTTGTCTCCACAGATACTGCTTCCCGAAGTCTAGCGACAGTCCCAGACAGAGGTACAGCCACACCAATCCTCATGCAGTGGGAACATTTCCCTTGATACACTACGGTGACATAGAGAGGCCTGTACAGATCAAATCAGATCTTCTCATTAGTCACTAAAATATAGAAGAAGTGAAACAAATCTGACCTGAAACCCACACAAACACCTAAGCTAACCAATACCTTTATTTGGAAGACATATGGAAACATTCACTTGGATTTGAGAACTATCCAACAGTAATCAAGAGATCTTTGGAAAAGGAAATCTTCATAAAACAAAAATCTAACATAGTCATAGTTCTGTCCTGTAAATGTTCCTTAAAACAGCCTAACTCATGGAAATTTTGAGAAACAATAGAAATAAAGCAACTAGAAGTACCACGTAAAGTCTCCATCCCCTAGATGTGTGAACTTTAACAATGTCTGTGTTCAAATTAGCATCAAACCTATTAGATATCGAAATAAGCCTACAGGAGCCTACCGAGGAAACTTTACTAAATCTGTTCTTACCTTGTGTGGGGCAGAGGAATTGGCAAAGAAATACAGAGGAAAGGGTCAAAAGTGTTGCTCTGCTTCTGACAGTGAGGACATGTCAAAGAAGATCTTTGAAAATAAAAATTTAATAAGACACATTAAAATCATATGTGAAACAGAAAAAAACAAGAAAACATTGTATTTGCTCATACCTGTACTGGGCTTGAAAAAGTTCTTGTACAAAAGTGCTACACACAGGAAAAGATGGTCCCTCAGGCATCATATCTGTCTCTGATGGAGGCTATAAAAAAGAAGTAGCAATTCTTATTGAAGATGAGCCTAAAAAGACTTCCCTAGCAAGCTGTATTTGGAGGACAGGTGCTTCGGTGCAGACACTTGCTGCTACAGGAACTAGAGAACAGCAACAGCCTGTGGGCTACCTCCAGAGACTCTGCCGCTAACCCTGTTCATCCACCTCTAATCCAGGCAGCTCTCCTGCCCCAGGAGGCCCCTCAAAGCCCCACTGTAACCTTGCCATGACATAATTCCAACCACTCTGGAAGTCCCAACCTGTTCCCATGTCTAAATTCTCCAGCATCTATTAGCTGTGCTGTTCATTCTGACACCTAATCATACTCTGCTTCACATATGATTCAACTTTTCATGTCCTTTTACTTCACGAGTTATAAGCACCTGCTGCCACATGCAGACATCTGGATACAAGAGAAGCGACACTTGGGACCTGGCCTTGAGGATGTCTCACTGTGGCTGGCAACAGCCGCAAACATATAATCATGACAGTGTGGTACGCAGCACAAAATGATCTTGAACCAGAATAATTTAGCAACTTAGCAAAACGAGAAATTTAAAGTGTGAAGCGCAGAGGAGAATCAAAACCTTTATAACCTAAGTAACTTTTTTTTGTTTGTTTTGGGGGTTTTTTGTTGTTTTTGTTTTTGTGGTCGTGGGTCTTGAACTCTGGGCCTGGGAGCTGTCCCTCAGCTCTTCAGCTCAAGGCTAGCGCTCTACCACTTGAGCCACAGCACCACTTCCTGTTTTCTGGTGGTTAACTGGAGATAAAGAATCTCATGGACTTTCTTGCCCAGGCTGGCTTTGAACCGCAATCCTCAGAGATCAGCCTCATGAGTAGCTAGGGTTACAGGCCACCAGCACCTGGCTAAGTAACTCTTTAGTCTCAATTTTTTTCCCACTATATAAACGACTTTGACCATCACAGTAAGGGCTACATGAACAGAATCTGAGTATGAATCATTATATTTCTAGTAAGGCCATTAGGAGGCTTAGTTTCTATGCTCAAAGCCAATTCTACCAGCAGAGACAACCATAATTCCCCTTTTGATTGTGTATGTGTATGTGTTTCAATGTGTCCTACTAGAATACAAAGCAAATGGTTCCCCCTCAGCCAACTCCGTCTGAGTTCCTCAAGGACAGTGTCTTAATGTACCTTAATGGCAGTACATGGTACACAAGGTGGAACATCCCTGTACGTATCACCAAGAGCTTAGTGTATGTCACCCTATTAACTAAGTGCAGCAAGTGGGGCTTGGGAGGGGACTCTCCACTCCTCTTCCTGGGTTCCCAGCTGCTCCCTGCTCTGCGTGCCCTAGACAGCAGGCATCCTCACCTTCAGAGGAGGCTGGCCACTCTCCTTTATGGCATGATTGAGGTCTTCGTGAACTCGGTCCAAAAGCCACAGCAGAAACTCCTGGGCGTCATGCTGGGAATTTCCACGATACTGCAGTGCATTCTTTGACACAATACTCTATGCAAATAAATAAGTCTGCATGAGTTCCTGGCTGTGAGAGAAAACGACTTCTCATAAAGAAATACACGATCTCCAAGGTATTGGAGAGTACATCCCAGAATAATAACAGTGTAAACACAGATGCTTAATGTAGACACATGTACTGAAAACCTTCAAGTGCTCTCAACTGGTCACCCTACTTTCTAGAGTATATTTGAAGGAAACCATTAGAACAGAATGCCAAGGCTCCTAAGAAAACAGTCACCAGGTTTTGTAACAGCAACACATCAAGAGTAAGATAGCATCTGAGATTACAGCACAACTATAGGACATAATCATTCTAAACAATACACCTGTATTGTGAAAAAAAAAAAAGCTGGAAACAGTTAAAGTATGGGTGTTTAAAACTATGAATACAGACCCATACATACAGAGAAAAAGTTTTAAAAATGAAACATCTAGGATATCCAGTGTCATCTCTGGGAGAGAATTACAAGTACTCGTCTTACTTTTCATATTTTCTATGATGATATATATTACATAATAAAGTAGTTAACTTTTTTGTGTGCCGGTACTGAGGCTTGAACTCAAGACTTCACTCTTAATTGGCTTTTTCTCTCAGGGTTGATGCTCTAGGGCTGGGAAGGTGGCTCAGTGGTAGAGCGCTCGCCTTGCATGCTCAAGGCCCTGGGTTCGATTCCTCATCACCACATAACAAAAAGCCGGAAGTGGAACTGTGACTCAAGTGTAGAGCGCTAGCCTTGAGCTGAAGAGCTGAGGGACAGCGCCCAGGCCCAGAGTTCAGGCCCCACGACCGGACCCAAAAAAAAAAAAAAAGGTTGATGCTCTACCACTTAAGCCATACTTCCACTTCTGGCTATTTGCTGCCTAATTGGAGTTAAGAGTCTCACAGACTTTTCTACTTTTCTACCTTTGTCCAGGCTAGCTTTGAATTGAAATCCTCAAATCACAGCCTCTTGAGTAGCTACGATTACAAGTGTGAGCCACTAGCCCCCAGCAAATAGTTAACAATTTTGTCTCAAACTTTACAGTACGGTTTACACTAATTTTCTTTATATATCTTGTTTTGGGAGACAGGCTCTTACTATGCATCCCAGGTAAGACTCAAACTCTCAATCCTTCTACTTGAACCTCATGAGGGCTGGTATTACAAATGTGTGCCATTAGAGCCAACTTTATTTTTCTGGGTTTAAACTAATTTTGTTAAAATGCTAAATTTTTATGTAAGCTGCAAGACATCTTCTGGCTTCATTATCTGTTTAAGAAAGAGGTAATAGAAGCCCTGATGAGAGAGATAGGGTAGAGTTGAAAATTCAAGAATAGCAGGATGGACATAATGTGGTAGGAGCCACATTTCTCACAGTGAGTGCAAAGCTATCCACAAACAGGAAGAGAAGGCTCTAGTATGAACTCATGTTTAGTTTATATGCATAAAGACAGGCTAAGTAACTACCTTTACACACTTGGGTTTGTACTTGTGCATCTTTCTCAGTTGTTTAATGAAAGGCACAGAAACACAGATACCATCCATCCTATCAAGCAGCAGACACAGCCCACGGTTCTTGTTCTCCAGGACCACAACCATTATCCAGAAACATCATTTCCTAAGGAAATGGCTGATTCTAGGACAAGGAGTCTGCCTGTGAAGAGAGCCAGGAACCAACTAAAGGCTCCCAATAACCAAAGCTAGAACACCTGTAGCAATGAAAGAAATAACATGGATTAGAATCCACCATGTAAAATCAATGCATCTATAGTGACATTAACTAAATGTCTGAATGACCAAAACAGGTAACAGAAAAATCTTCCCTACAACAGAATCCAAACTATGGTATACTGCTAATCACCCGCTCCAGAAGGTGCCATTTATTGCCCCATAGTGATGATGGACTATAACTGACTTGCTTCCAAAGAGCAAATACAGAAAGCCAGCAAGATACTCCAAGAAAATCAGGAGAATGAAGTCCCAAGAGTTAAGTGAAGAGTTTCACAGAATAGAGAAAGATCACTGGCATTAGAAGCAAAGAAAGACAAAGCAAGCCAAAAACTAAAAGCTGTCTATGGTGTTTCCCAGTAAGATGATAGTAACAGAGATGAAAAAGGCACAGATTTTCAACTTAATTTGAACTATCATACTTGATCAGTTAGATCTTAAATCACAAGAAGTTGATATAAAAGCCATCTGGATATGTTTTCTAAGACTTGAGACTCAGACTGAGGTGGAATCAAAGAATATCAGTGGACACAGTGAAGGAGGGAAAGGGTTATCAGTGATTAGGAAGAAGGCACAGGTGCCACCTCAGGAACAGGCCCACAGAGGAGGCAGCGAGGTGCAGGGAAAGTCTTCACTATATACACTTCCACCACACAGAGGCCACCCGTCACCCAGATCGCCAAATCCAGCTTCTTCTGTGCCCCCAACTCAGTCTCTCAGAAGCACTCAGACACCTTTCTCCATTGTGAATGGGTTGGCTTGGGGCCTGATATCCCCTCATTTAGCAGACTCAAAACCAAAGCCAATAAAAGAATGTGAGCTAGATAAAAAGAGAAGATGACCTCATTTTTTTTTAACTAGACCACTTTTTTTTAAAGACATCATTAACACTAGTAGTTACACCTGTGGCTGACTCAGGCCGGGAGAGAAATGGGTGTCTGGTAACCCCAGACAGAGAGCACTAGACAGAAAGCCAGGGATCAAACCAGGTTTTCAGTGTCTAGCTTAGGAGGCTAATAAAATAAGGAACAGAGGAAGAAATTGGGGGCTACAGAGTTTTGAATAGGGCTGAGTCTATGACCCCCCATTCCCATCATCCTACACAAGGCTAAGGTTAGGTCTGGTGTTCCGGAAAGCAATCCAAGTGGGCAACTTAAATGAGGGGAGCACAGAACCATCATTGGAGAATAGCGGGCACCATCTAGTAAGAAAGGACATGCCATGGGAAAGGAGCATCCCATTACCAGGCAGCAGGGGCTCACACCTGTTATCTCTTCTAGTCAAGAGGCTGAAATCTGGAGTACTGCAGTTCAAATCCAGCCCAGGCAGGAAAAAAAAAATCTGTAAGACTCCATTTGCATGTAACCAATAAAATGCAGACTGGAGGGTTGGGTCAAGTGGTAGGGCACCAGCCAGGAGTAACAAAGCTGAGAACACAAGGCACCAGGTTCAAGCCTTGAAATGTCCTCCCCCATGAAAACAGAGGCATGTGTAGCATCTACAAGTAGGAGGGGAGACCTCCAAGAAGATGGAAGCCATGTGCAAACTACTGTGGGAAAGCAATGGGACATGTCCTTTGGGGCAAGTGAGAGGCTTGCTTTGTGTCATCTTGAGCAAGCGGAGTTGGAATCAAAAGGGCTACAAGAGAAGGGACAACTAACAGGGACCACTGTCCACTACACAAAGCTGAGTTAAAAGGAGAGAGAAAAAAAAAAAGATGTCACAGGGATCTGACAATCAAAGCCACAGCTGATGGAAAGAAGAAACCTCGGAATTCTTCCATTCGGGGAAGGGGGCTTCAAAAACAGGCAGAGGAATTTGCCTTCAAGAGAAAATAGGGAGACAGGCGACAAGCAGGCAAGGACCTATCTTAGTCCTAGTCTTAATAGAGAGATAATGACAGGCCAAAGAGCATAGAGTTGGGTCATACTAACCACCAGAAGCACAACAAACCTCTCTTCTGAAACCTCTATTTTTTTTTTGAAATAGGAAAAAAAAAATGAGAGCAAACAGTTAACAGCCTATGCATCTACCCCCGCCCCCAAGCAAATTAGCTGAAATCAAACTCCTCATTGTGCATCAAAGCAAATGTTTTATACCCAGTGTCCATTCCAGGAGGGAGCTGGCATTCTTCATCAGGACTGAACTAAATTTAGTTATGCCTCTTGCCACTCCCCCCTCCACTCCTGTGGAATCCTCACCAATCTCTGGGACTAAGGCACTGCACTAGTTGCTGTGCTAGGCTGCTGAACAAGACTTCTACTGGGCAAGACTAAACAGGCCCCTGGACTTCCTCAACCCTCCTAAGTAGGCACAACGCTGGCAGCCCAAATCTTCACCCAAACTCTATCTAGTGGGCAGTTTGGTTTATGTCTGAGTCACGTCTGATGTGGCTTTGATTTGCTGTCTATGATTTTTTTTTCTTTCTGCAGCTTTTCTAAAGTTGATCATCACTGCCATCTATACAAAGCAGCTTTGCTACTCTAATATTGAAATTATTCAAGTATGTGGTTTCCATGAAAAATAAAATGTAGGCCTTCTTCAAATTAGTCCTATATATTTGAGTCTGCCTTACAAAATTTGGGAATAGTGTTTCCATTTGGAAAAATATTAAACTGTCTATTGGCTTAAATCTTGTACATATTACTATGTATAAATGTAACCACTGGGCTGGGAAGGTGGCTCAGTGGTAGAGCACTTGCCTTGCATGCATGAGGCCCTGGGTTCAATTCCTCAGCACCACATAAGCAAAAAGAAAAAA